CTTGGGATACGCCCAGAGTCACGGAACGGATTAAGTTCGTATCCCGAGGTACCACTGTACTTCCACAACACACCCACCCCAAACAAATTGGGCTTTTCTAAAGGGAAGAAAATGAATGTATAAAATGTCATTTATTTATTAGACTTGAAGACCTGCAACTGAAGCTGGCAAGTGATGGATTGGTCAATGTCTCCTTCATGGTGGTCAATCACCAAGGGTACCATTCTCAGCTGAAGTATCCATATCTAAGAGAAAAGGTTTCAGAAGACATTCCTGTATACCAGCAGGATCTAATGCAACCTGATGTCTGGATGACTTTAAAAGGCAAAAAAGATGACTTCCTGATTTATGACAGGTCCGTGTATAAAACAAATCAAATGGATCAGAACATCTTAGGTATTTCCTATTTTGAAGGCACGTGAGGCTTATTTGGATCAGGTGGCACCCTGCAGTTTTGCGTAAGAGCTCTCTGTGCCTCTGTTTGCACAACACATTCACCTACAGTGTACTTAAAAGGAGTTTACTTGGTTCAATTTACTCAGTTTATGCAACACTCTGAACTAAGAAGTGGCTCTGTGGGCTGGGTATGTTCATGTGAGAAGTGAGTGTGTTTGGCTAGTTTTGTAGTTCAGTGTGTTAGGTAAGAGACCCTGTTTGCTGATGTGATTAAGGCTTCAGGCTAGAAACTGGAGGACCGTGAGTTCTAGTCCATCTGGGTGACATAGTACTAGTCACTCTCTCTCAGCCCTAGGAAGAGGTCAGGGTAATCCACTTCAGAAAAACCTTGCCAAGAAAACTGCAGGGACTTGTCCAGGCAGCCTCCAGGAGTCAACACTGACTTGAAGGCACAAAAAACCAAAACCCACAAATAGTTTATTTTGCCCTAAAGTGGTTTATCTGGATCAGTTTATGCTACTTAAAGGAATGAACTTCCATACAAAGTATTTGTGGCCCTTACATAAGAGTTCTCACTCTGCATTTCCCTTCCCCTGGTTTTGCTGCTTTTCCATCTAATGGGGAGATGGATTCTTTCATATGAGCTCTTCCTGTTAATGGGATTTCTCACCTCCATCTTAATGAGGTTTATCACTGTTTTGCTTTCAGAAAGGTGGGAAGCTTTGGAAGGAAACAAAGAACTACAAAGAACTACCTGTGTTCAAACTAGATAGCAGAAGAGAAAGGATTGGGATTACTGTAACAGTGCTATTGTGGTAGTGCCAGTGTGTCCCCCAATCCGCAACTTTCTTGTGATGGGCTTACAGTAGATTTTGGGGGTCACAGCAGAACACAAGTCACTTAAGATGCAAAGAAAGTTTTTTTTTTTTACAGTTTTTGTAAAACTGTCCTTCATAAATATAGTGATGCACTGGTATTAAGAACTGGCTTACTTTCTTCCTAGGTGTGGTCGTCTTGTTTATCACCTTGGCTTACCTTATACTTTTCTGAGTTTTCCATATGTGGAGAAAGCCATTCAAGTCACCTATTGTGAAGCCACCTGTGGAAACTGCTCATACACGGTATGGATTCACTTTTTCCTTTTCTCCGTGGTGTAGAAATAAGTATCTAGGAAGAAGAAAAGCTGATTAAACGAAAATTTTAAAAGTATATGGAGCTTATAACCACTGAATGTTTTTTGTAATTTCTAAAAATGTTATAACTTTTTAGCAAATAATTTACATACCTTTCAAATGTTTTTATTCCAAAGTGAAATAGATTGCTAGCTTTCTTCAAGAAAAATATTGAGAAAGTTGTAGATATATATTTTTAATGCTAAAGCACTTTTTTTGAGGGCATTGCAGGCTAAGTATAGAGTTACACTGTATGATTCCCAAAACATCAATGGATCTGGTTTGCACATTGCCCTAATCCATGGTATTTTTAATTATGATTCATTAAGTCCCAGTGCTGAATTCACAAAACATGCTAAGCCCAAATCCAGTTGTGATTTAGCATAATGTATGAACCCAGATAAGACAAAATGTGTACAGATTTCATTCTACCTCTGGTATGCTACATCTTGGAAGCATTTACTCTCTAGGTTCTTACTTTAGGAAAGACATTCCCATAAATGCAGACCCGCGTGCTGCATTCACTTACCTCACTTCCCCAATGCAAAATTATTGGGTTTCCACTCAACAACCAACTTGCCATTAAATTCAGTGCTCTCCACATATAAGATCCAGATCTTTGGAACTAAGACGTGTTCTATGCATTGTCTTTAGCTGCTTGAGAAGGAAGCAAGATAATAAAGTAAATAACCAAAACCAAATGCAAATAGAACTCTCCTATCTTTCATAGCTTTTGTTTGGTCAGAGAATTGTAACAAGCTGGATATTTTCCAAAGTAAGAGTCCCTTGCTGATTTAAGCATAATGGACTTTGGAAATTACTTGGAAAAGAATGGTCACGTGGAATGACATTTTTCAGGGAACCTTGGAATGATTGTGATTTTAAGCAGCATCTCCTCTCTTACAGAAATGCTAGGCTGAGCTGTGTTATTTTGTTTAGACTGATTTCTACTTGTCTTTAACGTTGACACACTGAACATACCGTATAAGAACCAGTTAAAACTCTGACCACGTTGTCTGAACCTTTTTCTTTTCAGACACCTGAAATTGAAGAAATATGTCAAGGAATCTCAGGGAATCCAGAAGAAAAGCAAACGGAGGCAGCTTCTCCTGCCTCACAGTTGTCTCCCGGTGACCATCATCATCATCAGAGACATCGTCACAAAAAAGGGGGTCATCGACATCAGTCAGCACAGCACCGTGAGCATGAGAGCAGAGTCTCGGAGAGGGTCCGGGTGGATAGCCAGGGTCCTGCAGAAACTGCCCCTCTGCCAGCAGCTATAGAGGCTCCTTTGCCAGGGGACAGGCTCTGACGAAAAAGGATTGGCAACTGCAAGCGACAGTTGAGCTGAAACTGGCAGCACTTGGCAGGGCCTGTCTCCAGTAGCTGATGCTGACACTGCCGACACTTGCTGTTTGAAGATCAGCAGAGCACAGCTTCCTGACATTGTCGCGGAGAGCTCCCATCTTCCTGCAGGTGACAAGGGCAATTGTTGGCAGACAACGTGGCTGAGTCTTGTCAGTGACGTCTGCCAACAGCTGCTTGACCTTTACCAGCAGCAAGAAGGGGTGAAACCTGACAGTGACCAGGACTGGACAACTGAGCTTGAGGAACAGTCTAAACATCTAAGGAAGATAGCTGAGTTTGGAATGCATTCCACCCAAATTTGAGATTGGTACTATTATTTCTTTCGAAGTGTTTGGAAACCCTTGCTGTAGGTGGCAAAAGGGCATTAAAGCAGGAATGTATTT